AATCACTGACACTTTCTGCAATCACAATAATATCTATAAAAATTGAAAACCAAGCCGCCCGCACACTTCTAGTGTTAATGACTTGACCTGAGCTTGGCACAGAAATTATTTCTGGCCCAAGCTGATTTCCTCAGGCCAATCCAGAAAATTTTGGGAACTCTCAGATCCTTAAATATACCATGTAATTGTTGTTGTATTTAATGGGCACGATAATAGAGACACTGGACTATACCATTGATATAGCGGACAATGTAAATAATAAATATGTCTGTTACTGACTAAATACAAAATTTATTTAAACACAACACACCTTTTTGTTGTAAGTCTCATGGCTAAGCAGTATTATCTGTCGCTATTTAAATTTGACTTAAGCTTTAGATATTTTAAGAACTCATATGTTTTATTTCCAAGCCGTATAGTATTAGATTTTGATGAGTAGGCCTATAAATCATAAAATTTACTTTGTGATAGTTTTTTCAACAAAATTACTGCATCATTCATTATTTTCAAAAAACACTCTCATTATTCTCACGTCAATTTGTTTCAGCTGAAAAACGCTCAAGGTGAGGTGAAATTGAAGGAAGCAATCATTGATGACCAAAGCTCAAAGATTCAAAAGGCTAAAGCAAAGGTGCAAAAACTACGAAATCAGCTGATAACGACCAATCAGAACATAGAAGCGGAATATACCAGCAAGTGTAATCAGTACAAAGCGGAGTTTATCAAGGTGATGGAGGAACATGAAAAAACTGTAAACGAACAAGTCAAACAACTGAGAGAAGCTTATCAAAACCAAGTGAGAGAATTGAAAAAGGAGCTGAGGAAAAAGAAAAGCACAGAGAAGGTGAGTTTGGTACGGTCATAATACGGTGAACCAAACTGGTGTAGTGGTTAGAGCAAGAGACTTTGATCCTGCTGGTTCAGGTTCAACTCCTGTCGATCACCAATAGAAATTAAGCTCTGTGATAGTCCTGTGGTTGGACAGCTAAAGCTATCCGTCTTTAGACCATGGTATATTTATTAAATAGAATATAACAAACAATTCTCAAGTAAGTTGAGGAGTTTTGTGACATATTTGATTAGAAATGTATGGATACAAAATAAATTAAAGAACCATTTTTTTACCTATTTAACTTTTTGTAGGAGTATCAAAAATGTAATAATTATTTCACTTTCAACAATATTACCACAATTTTACCTCTTTGGTTTGTTATGTTTCAGATTGTATAGGCTGCATTCAACAAGTGCTATTATTAGTTGTAAGAATTTAACAAGTTTCCCTTCAACTGTGATCAAGACCATTTCTGAGAAATGTGCCTTTTAATCATTTTAATATGTTAATACTTTAGGACTTATATTTGTGAATAAAGTGTATTTTGTATAAACTTGTCTTATCAGTGAAAGACCCTATGAAAACCCTATTCCTATTTTCATTACCACATTGTTGGCCTAGGAAAAAGGTTAAGCTCAGTTGTTTTTGATCTGAGGCGATTGGGTACATGTAATTTGGGTTGTGTTTATTATGGAACAATTTTAGTAAAAGTTCAATCAGACAAATTGAAATTCGCTCAGTCTACAAGTTTGCTGTGGTGGAGTTTTTGTTTAAATCCTATGGAGAACATCAAGTTTCATTGGCATCACAAAACTTAAACAGGACAAACCCATATAAATTCTTTATTGGCTCCCATAACATATATTGTCAGTTTGGCTGGTTCTCTAAAAAAAATTAAATCTCAACAAATCAATTATCAATGTCTTTAAATTTGTGGAATGTATAAGCTGAATTGCAGAACGACTTAATCTCATCTGAGTTAAGGTTTTTAGTTCTCTTTTCTCTGAGGTGGACCCATGTCCACCAAATAAATAGGCCATTCTATTTATTTCTTAGTTTAGTATAATAAATTTGGTCGATGCTTGGGTAACAATAGTATCGTCAACATTTTACTAACTTGTTTAATAGCTGCCTCATACATAGAACAATTAAACAAATATTAATCTTGATGTTTCAAACCATCGTCATTGATCAATCATCAATCATGGTCATCGAGTGATTTTGATTGTTATTCTGACTCCTGAATTATTAAATATACTCAATCTATTCACATGAAGGTTCAATATGTCAAAGGTCAATAAAACTCAAGATTATGTATCTAATTTGTAAAGGGAATAGTATAGCCTTGTGCTATTAGCTGACTAAGGATATCAGGAGGAGGGCAAATCCATCGATGAACCACAAGTTCTACAACAAAAACCAGCACTGACAGTAACAGTCCGGATATGAGGAGCAGGAACGCACCCTGCATCTGCTCCATGTATAGTTTTGGTTCGTAGTGGAATGTTTCAATATTCCTCTGATGCTTTGCTTGAGTTTCCCACCGACTGAGAATTCCGGCTTCAAACAGACGATGAACAATGGCGGACAGAGGTTCTCTCAATGGGGAAACTTTTCTGACGATTACTGGAGACGACGGTGCCTTGATGACACACTGTTGCTGCAAGTAACAAGTTGGTAAGTGAAGCGATTTGAGTCTCCCATTGATGTACGAAAGCAAACTTTTTGTCGAAAACACAGCTGTGTTTCTATTTAAAACCACTTTTTCCACCACAGGAAGAAAGTTTCCGGGCGGTAAGACTTCAAAACGTCTCAACAACATTTTGATAGCATAGCTACTTTTGACTGAAGCGTTTAAAATATAGAACATTTGTGGTGCTCCGGTGATGCTAAACTCTGTCTTGAGTAAGTCTGCTGTATCTTCGATGTTGCCACTTCTTGTTGGCACTGTTGCAAAACTACCCAGTTGAGCATTGTAGGCTGCGATCAATACCAGACAGTAAAACAACCAAGGTGCGAGAAATGATCGGATGATGTTCGAGCGGGGTTTTTCTTCTACCGAGGCTCCTAAAAATGTGAAGTAGACGTAGAAAAATAAAACGTCCCATTTTGTAAAATCCGGATCTTCATTTTTCGATAGACGTGAAAGAAGGTAAAAAATCACCACAACCAAAACCAGGGTGAACATAATGAGTACCCATGTGATGATTGAGAACTCACCAATGTAAGTAGACCACATGGAGGGACCCACACCAGCTTCGGCAGGAACGGCCCACGTGAAACAATCCATGTCCGTCTCTTTGACCAGAGCTACTTGAGGATGATAGTCAAGGAGACGGGTGAATATCCCAAACCCAATATCTGCTTTTTTGGTCGCCACATCGATTGCTATGGATGACGAGTCATTGGAGTAAATAGCATCGTAGTTAGACGTAACGTCGACAACTCTAGTTATAATCGGGGTAAAGTTCATTTTCTCAGCCACCGTCTCAAACAAAAGTCCCCCGATCCCACTTAAGTTGTAGGTTTTATTTCCAGTCTCTTCAATTATAGAATCAGGGGGCCGGTGGACACCTGCGCATTTCAAAGGACAACCGTAAAGGTTGTACACTTTGTTCTTCCTATCGTAAAGGTTGCGGTCCCTGGTGAACCGGTGGTTGGATTCACCCCAAGTATCTATCATGACCGGTGCACCAGAGTCGGCACATTGAGTCTTGGTGTAGGGAAAGTATGTGTAAACTGCGAGTCCTCCGTACTTCATCTGCACCAATGCGACCACATCCAACATCTCATGGCTCCAGAACTCTTGAAAAATACCTCTCAAATACAAAATACTCTTCTCTGGCTGAGTCCATATCAGTAAGAACCTCGAGTTTTCAAAGTAAACCAAATGCTCCAAGATCTTTGAGTAAAATTTATTTTTTTGTGCAAGTAGTATAAAAAACCCTTCTTCCTGAGTTAAGTTTTGTGGGCTTAAAATAACTCTTGGTCCACTCACCACCTTGAGTAAACCGCTCATGAAGTCTGAGTTTTCCACCTCTTCGCTCAAAAAGACAAATGTCCGTTTTTCAGCATAAGTCTTGGTAATGTTTTCAATACACTCATGGAGATTTTTATAGTTCTCTTCTGTTGGAAGAAGAATTTCGGATTTGACTATTAAAACAAAACTAAATAATAAATAAATTGTTGTAATCATTTTTAACTTTTTTTTTTAAATAAAGTGAAACACTTGGCCATAACCGTTAGAGACTAACGAACATTGACCATTTCACATCAAATCTCGCTACATTGTTGGCTCTGAAGATGATTGGTTTGTGGACAAACTAACCTATTGTAGTAGTTGATTCAAAGCCAAGTCTTTAGCGTCTTGCCTCGGTAAACATTTGTAGACCAACAGAATGTTTAGAAATTAGTTTCAAGAATAGGGACATCAATGGAAGTTTCCCAGGTGGCAATTTCAAAACATGACAAAAGAAATAGTTGTTTAATGCAGTTTTATAAACATGGACAAGAAGTTCATACTGTTGACAACAACCTTGGAAATCTGCCACTAAATGGATGTGAATATTCAAGCTCATGTTACTATATCTAAAAGTATATTGACAAAAGTATTAAATTTGGGATTTAAATCCAGGTAAAACCAAACAAAGTTTTTCACTTTACAAAAAAAATCTATTTCATAAAGTATTCATCATTAAGTGTGTGTGAATATTAATGCTAAAACAATACTTCTTTTTATCGATCAATTTAAACAATTAAAAACATTATCTAACTTTCTTACATGAAAGTATCAAGAAAGTTAATTAGCACCGTAATTACTTTGAATTATTATTACTAATTTATTTAACTCAAACCTGGCCTCCACTAATAACAAGGGCCGTGGCAAAACCGCTGTTCTACTAATTTATATAGAGCTTCTATCCAATGTTTATATTTATTTACACATTTGCTATTAATGTTATTACCAAGGCAATACGCTGGCCACGGTTCCACACACAAACGCAGCCTTTGTATTAGAGGATGTTATGATGCAACACTTGCTCAAAGGAACAACAAAATAATGAAATTGCATAAAACTGCAGCTGTTTGTAAATATATACCCATACCAACTCAATGAGTTGGACTTGTGTATGAGGATAAAATCATAAGATTACTCATGAATTAGCGAGTGATCCAAATATAGTTCTGTGTGTAAGTGTGTGTTGGTGTGTGAGTATAGAGGTAGTGGGAGTTTCTCATTTACATAAATAGCACCAACATAAACAAGCGCATCAGTATTCTCTGAGATTCTGCATTTACAACTAGAAACAACTCTGACTACACAGCAAAGTAAGTCAACTAAGCTTTAAGTATTTAGAATAATTAAACCAGTTTTGTATTTATGTGTTTATAATATATTATTTATTTTTTGTTTTCCTAAAAAAAATTAAATTCTTTTTTTCAAATTGTTTTTGATAAGCAATAATAAGAAATGTTTAGGTAGGTTTTTTTAAATACTTTTACTTTAATACTTTTCTTTGAAATGGCGACCATCAAAGCCAAATTTGTCAAGCTAGAAGTATTTTATTTAGTGCACTTTTTTAGCTAATTTAAATCAAATGTCATTAGTTTTGTTTTCAATTTTATTTTAGATAAATGTTGTTGCTTTCATTGATTATGCAATTTTTATTAAGGTATAATTAAATAGTTGTTAAGCTTAAATCATCTTCATTGACACTATCCCATGTAAATACTAGCCTGAATAAGGTTTTTTTAAGGTTAAATTAAAATACTTATCAACCGTTTTTTAATAACACATAGAATATAAAATTAACACCAATACTCAAAATGCCATTTAACACTGATGGTAGCATACTTGAAAAACATGTTTGAAACAAAACAATATTTTTCTTTTATATTGTTACCCTAGAAAAAAAAACAAGTATTTTAATTTCACTTATGTTTCATATACAAAAAATGTAATAAATATTCAAATATGATATTGTTGAGTTCTTTGTACTGTGTTGAAAAATATGGTACTGGTACTGGTAGTGAATCTTTTGTTTGTTACCTTGACTGTACCCGTAGTTAAAACAGGCAATTAATTTAAATGAATTGAAACTGAGTGGTTCGAGATGAGAGCAAATAATTTTTTACTGTAGTTTCAGATGTATTTGCTTACCCATATTTTAAACTTGAAAACTGATTTCACAAATGTTCTTCTTGTCAGTCTTGTCACCTCTCTTGGACTTAATTTACCTAATTACCTTAATTTTGGTCTTTGCCGCTACCTGTGTTTAATTTTATAATTGTTTTTAGATGTCTCTGGTGCCACTTCTGTTCCGTGATTGGTGGGATGAGTTTGACAGGGAACGTCCATCCCGTTTGCTTGATCAACATTTCGGACTCGGACTGCGACGGGACGATTTGTGGAACAGGTAGGACAATATCTTTGGTATACAGTAAGTTATTTTGTTTTGTGGTATGAAATACACAATAGTTTAAAAGGAAATGCTGTGATCTAAGTTTAAATGACGGAATAAGGAACTGCCACACTCCCCTAAGAAAAGAGTTCCAGCTAGCGGATCACAAACAAAATAATTGTAATAATTTTAATTTTACGTATTTCATTTAATATTATAAATTTATGTAATAAAATAAATTTGACAGTATGAAACTTTTCTGTCGTGGGTTAATTGATTGTGCACTGGTAGCCTACTTAGTTTCTGTCTTTAGCTAGTATTTCCCCCCAAAAATATCCTATAGATTTTAAAAACAACTTTAAATTCATAAAAAAGGTCCAGTATCAGCTTCACCTTGTGTTGATGCAGATCAAAATCAAACTCTTTTAAATTAAGCACAATTATTAATTACTGTCTGGAAAACTAAGTAAAAGTGCTTTCAAATCTGAAGGTTGCTGGTTTGATTCCGTCTGATCAATTCTAGATCCAGATTTGTCATTGGGAAATCAATTAATAATGATAACATAAGATCAATGTTTGTTACAAGACCAGGGTTTTGATAATTCCATTGCTGTTATATAATGCAATGTGAGAAATTGTGTAGATTAACCCTAATAAAGCTTGAAAACTTGTTACAGTTTTGCCCCATCAAGTCTGAGACCAGCTGGTGGTTACTTTAGACCCTGGAGGGCTCCTCTTGCTCGGTCTAACAGTGGGACTTCTAGCCTAGTCGCTGAGGCTGATAAAGTACAGGTAAACATTTGTGACTTTCAACAAACATTTATGGTGAATTTTAAAATGCAATGAAGCTAACCCATAAAAAAAATACTTAGAATTATGACTTTTAAACCCGTAAAACATTCTTGCAAACTACTTTTTAAAGAACTAAATATTCTAACCATCACTAATTTGTATATTCTCAATGTTTATCGTATGTGAAATCAAATTTTTAAAATCTCCACAGAGAAAATAATTGGCACAATTATAACACTAGATTTCATACAGATTTTCAATATCCTATACAGATTAAATCTTGTGGAAAGGACACCTTCTTATATGGGTTAAAGGTTTTTTAACAACTAGCCTGGGTACCTACTACAAATCAGTAATAGGATTATTATCTTTTAAAGAAAATAATTGAATTTTTGTTGAAAAAGAATTATTATTTTACTGTAGTATAAATCAGTTTCTCAAAGACAAATCAACGTGAATTTTTTGTTTTTGTTACAATGTAGTGATTTGCATTATTTTACTGATTTTTTTTTGTATGATTTTGGTTGATGAAATTATACCTATAGAAGATCGAGGGGTTTAAAATATAGCTCTATGATTTCAATTCACGTGCATCACTTTTTTGTAACCAAACATTGGGTCTCTCAATGGAAGAAATTCCCTGTCTAAACAAAAACGTCATTCACTGAGAAACCTTAAATTTAATGTAAAATTTTCAGTTTTATACATCAATGAATACCGTAATACCCTCCCCTTTTCCACCTAACTTCTGCTTCAACTGCTTGCCATACTTCAATATATTTTAGATGATGTAGGTAACTTAAAAAATTGTTGAAATGTCTACCATGTACAGCTTCACTATTTTACATTACAGTAGATACATAGATTTGTTTCTATTTTGATTAACCACCTACTTTCCAGATTGTTAAATGTTGAACACATTTACCATCATGTAAATAAAAAATATCTGGGTTCCAGGTGATATTAGACGTACAGCAGTTCAGTCCTAACGAGATCACTGTCAAGACAGCCGACAACTACGTGATTGTTGAAGGCAAACACGAGGAGAAGCAAGACGAGCACGGGTTCATCTCCAGACACTTTGTCCGCAGATATCTGCTACCAAAGGATGTTGAAGTGAACAACATCACATCATCCCTCTCGTCTGACGGAGTACTCACCATCTCTGCTCCGAAAAAGGTGAATTTTACTGTTTGAAGGTGTTAAGGTGTTTGGAAAAGTTTTTAGCACATTCATGTGAATTATTAAGTAGTTCACTACAGTATAACACAAATAGCAAATCACTTTTGATAAGTGTCATTGATATTGTGTTAAGCCTAATCACATGTTATTGCAAATCTCAATAATAATAAGTCTACCTTTGTTAAAAAAATAAGAAAACAACTGTCTGTCTGGTATTAAAGCAGTAAAATATGAATAAAAAAGTAAGAGTTTTGCTGTGACTGAAATATCTTATCTATACCAATGTTAGGGAAGTTTATAATTAGTATTCCACTGGTTCTGAGACCATAGTTTCAGCCAGGTTATGGCTTTGAGGTACCTAGTTTTCTTATTTTTTGGATGTTCAGTTTATGGACTTTTTATGTTTTATTATTTGATATAGTCATGCCAAGCACTTAAAACCCTTTTTAGAAGAACTACATTTTAAGTTTTTGTACTGGCCACATTGTTGACGTTAGAATTGTTTCCACGTCAGCTGTCTTTGCCACTGGACCTTAGCTCAGCATCACCTACCTGGAATTATTTTAGTTTTGAATATTATGTTCACTAGGTATTACATTTATAGTCAATGGGATTAACTTTAGCAGTCTTGATCGAAGAACATGTTTTTAGGGAATATGTGTTTTTTGCTAACGCTGCTGGCCAGGGCCACCCAATCAATTAAACAATCCTAAAGTAGTTTCTCAGACTGTGAATGATTAAAAGAAAATTGAAAAAAACCTCTATTGTCAATAAACAGTTTGATAACTAGGCCCCTTGGTTCAGTGGTGGCTAATAAGTAGAAGGCTACCGCAGGTCTCCTGGTATATAGTCACTTTCAATAAAGAAATTACAAATTTTGGTGGACAAGGAGACTGATAACCAGTTTGATAATTGTAATAAAAATGGATCATACAGCTAATCAAAGTTTAATGTTAATTTGTGTATATTGTTTTAGTATAAACATCTTGTTAGTTTTAATTTAAGCATTCTTGCAAATTTATAGCGCTGATTAGCTGAGTGATTATTGTGCTCGCGATTGCCAGTTCGATTCTGACAAAGATTTTTTTGGGTTTTAAAGGTTCCAGGTTTTTTATCATTGGGCTTATATGGTCCTGGTTAATGTAACAGTTGGTATTCATATATGGGTAAAAATATGTACATAGGTAGTGTCTGAATACAAATTGTTAATAATAATAATAAAGTATTATTCTTATACTTATTGTCTTAGTTACAAAACAAAAATATTTCTTTCTCACCACAAAACTTTCAAATTTTTGAAAATCTTATACACATATTCATTTGGTTTGCATTTAGGCCTCTTTTGAAATGCTAAACAAACACGGTTTCTACTTATTAGTGTTTTAAATTTAAACTTTGGCTCAAGTTAGACACTAATGTTCTGTGGTGATTCATTGCTTGTTTCTGAGGTATTTCGGGAGTGTGAGTCGCCACTGCAACCAAGTTTGTTTATTCTCCTTTCCCCCTGGAAATAGTCCAACCTGCTTTTGAAATTTTGTTAACTAACTGTTAGTAATAATGTTTAAGTTTATTTTAAAGTGAGTTTCTACATTTTTATTGAGTGCTGTTATGTTGGCGTCATTAAAACTACTGTTAAACTCTCACAATAAAACATTTTGCAGACATTTTCTGAATTCTCGCTCAGTGGAAAATATACAAAATTTGCAGCCTACTGTATTATAAATTAAAATTATCAAAAAGTGTGATAACTAAAAAAGTTGGGATATTTTGTTACAAGAATAACGTTTATAAAGCCTGCTAAGTTAACAACATGATACTAATTGGCTTCTGATTGGGAGTTAGCGATTTAGAGAAAAACTCCAGACTTTTAAAAAGTAGGCCTACTGAAAGACGTAAAATTAATATTAATTCAACAAAATTAAGAGGATGACCCCGGGTCTACACTAATAGCCTACGATAAAAGAAATTTACAAGTTGTATTTATGCATAGACTAACTTTTAATGCAATCCATGAATACATTAGGCCTACCACTTTATAATGTATTGATAAATATTTATTTAAATTCAATAGCTCTATTTAAAAATACATTACCACTACAATGTAATTCTTTAATTACGTTTAACGTGTAAATTTTATTATGATTTATGATTCAAGGTTACAAGCCCAGTATATAGAATACGAACTCAATAATTTTATTTGCAGAAATTTACAAAATGGTATTTATTCGAATAAAAGAAACAAATGGCGGACTACAAAAATAGATATTTCATAACATGTAGATCCAAATTAAATGTGCATTTTTATCTTTTTGCATACCAATAAGCTACTATCATAGATAAAACATTCTCCCTTAGTAGATTTCTCATCCTAATGGATCAGCTAAGACAGTTTTATTGTTAGTTCTGTCCGGTGCACTGTCTTTAGAGGTCATGTTTTGTTTACAATTGTTTCTTGTTTTCAGTAATTTAAAACCTCGTTTAACCAAATAAAACGTTCTAATCACAACTAATAACACATCCCCTAGTTATATAACCAAACATTAAAAAACAAATCATGAAGTTAACTATAAAATAATAGAAACACACTTTTGTCGACACTAGTGATCAGTGTCACCGGACATGAACTAGACACGAAAAACGAGCTTCAAAGTTTACAATGGGATGTAAAGTTTACTTGTGTTGGTTAGTCTATGGTAAGACTATAATGCATTTCCCACAATAATGATCATAGGAATAATGTTAAACATACTTCTAAATATATTTATTTTATCGACTACGTTGCTCTTACTCCTAATTAATCGTAGGATACGACATTATGGTACCGATACGATATAGGTACTACACTTTCGGCAACACTGGCCAAAAATATTCGTGTTTGGCTCCCATTGGACGGCTCGCGAGGCTTCTGATTGGGAGTTAGCGAGTTCCGCCGAGGGACCGAGTTAGCGACTTCCGTGCGAGGACGGAATTCGCTAACCCAGCTCTAGAGCGGGTTCCGGAGTTAGCCAATTCCGAAACCGAACAAGTTAGCGAGTTCCTCTCATCGACCAAATTTGAAGATAGGGCGTTTAACATGGGGTTAGCGAGTTCCAGAGTTAGCCAATTCCGCGGACCCGAATAACAAGATTATTATTTGTAGACAACAAAACAATTGAACAGCTTAAATTTGTATTAGATTCTCCTTGGTGTAATTCAATCAGCTGTGTAACAGAAAACGATCCCCAAAGTAAAAATGTGAAAATTATGTTTTTGTTGCCGCAGAGACATATCGATACTTTTCCAAGTCCCACCACAATACTTTGAACATCTACTTGGCCAATTCTGAAGTGATATTAAGGACATGGCTAAGTGTTGGCCAAATTCACCAAATCTAAGTACCATTAAGTAAAAATTAAATTTCAGCCCAGTTGGTTCAGTTATTTGTTGTTGTGTTTACGGGAAATAAACACACATACATTAACCACCCCCATGTTTACATTATTACAAAATTTTCCCTCAAGTAACTTGCAGAGATCATCTTTAAGAGGAATAGATTCTAGCGAGCATGACACAACTAATCCTCAAAGGCTAATAGGTACACAGAAAAAAAAATAACACTGATACTTCACTCAAATACATAAACTTCTCCAGCAATCAGTTAAATTAAAGATAACTCATTTAAAGATAACTTGTTTTTAGAGTAGAGTATATTATATTAGAGTAGAGAGTCAGTTAGGAACTTCTTCAATCTATTAACTCTTGAAGCTTACACCAAGAAATAGTGTTATATTATATGATTTTTATCGTCCATCCATTAGCTTCTGGACTCTAATTATCTGACATAAGCTTGCTGAGCTCTAAACAAACTCCTTATTGGCCAAACTTCATTTTGCTTCAAATCATCTCTAATCTCTATGGTGTTTGCAGATGCTGCAGGAAGGTGGAGAGAGATCAGTCCCCATAATACAGACGGGGGCTCCAGCACTGAAGCCAGCCCCCAACTCTGCCCCCCATGAGACCAACATCAAGATTGAACAGCAGTAAAACCCTGCAAAACTCTGTAAAGCTTTTATTTTTGTAAAATGACTATTTTCATAAATAATATATTTTTTACTACTATGTTGTACTTTGTTTGAAGTTCATTGTCGTAAATTTATTAGATCAGAATTGATTTAGTAATCCGAATTGTGAATACGCAAAAGGAAGACGTATTATGTTCTAGTTCACAAAAAAACAATTAAACAGTCAGGAAATTAGGTAGGTTACAATGGCACTATAGGTCTACGGAATACTGATTTGATCAGGAACTGGTACCAGTTCCTACTTAAAAAAGTTGTACAACACATTTGTCTAGTGAAATATCGCTCTTAGAAGTTTAACTGGGTTTGATCTCAATTCAAAAGAAGATAGGTACTTTAATTTGAGGTCGTAAAACTTTGCATACAAGAACGTCAAAAACATATCTTCTGTTCGGATGTCAATTTACTCTTGCACAAAGACAGTTTTTTTTACCAAGAGTGTAAATGTTAGAACAGATAAAGTTTTTCTAATAATATTAAATTCATATTTTATACACTATTCCCTTGGACAAAAGAAATTTGTTTTGTTACCATCATCAAGACACAATATACATACTTTTCAAGACATGCAGTACACTTTATCTTCTGAGAAGGTAAATAAATATTATAAACATCATAGTCTGCAGGCTGTTGTAGGCTTACCTTATATTTGATGACACAATAAATGTTTCCTAACAGGTTGGTTTGCAGCAACCAGGGTCTAGATTGTCTGGTTCAAGGATTAGGCAGAAAATTAAATCAACACTTTATTTCACAGCATAGAAACCAAATACGTTTTAATATATGTATAAATTATTAAAGCATACAACCCATATAGCTATATACACTTTAAACTCTCGATACTGTATACAAAGACGATATTTTTACATATCAAAGTTTGACATGTGGAGATGTTGCATGACGTTTCGAGCTGGAAAAGAAAGAAATATTTAAATTAAAATTAACATTTTATTCACTAGTCATGATGTTATACTTTTGTAGTCAGTAGATGGTGTTACCCATCTATTTTTTATTTAAATTATATAAGTGCACTAGCTGTACCCGCGGGCTTTGCCCCGTTTTACTTCATAAGTGAGCTCGTTCACATGGCTCAATCACGTCCTGGTTGAAGTTCGTTCGCTACGCTCACTCACCTTAAGATGAAAGCTCGTTCGCTGCACTCACTTGCCTTCAGGTTAGCTCGTTCGCTACGCTAACTCGCCTCCAGGTTGAAGTTCGTTCGCTACGCTCACTCACCTTTTGGTTTCAAATTAGCTGTTGTCATAAATTTAAAAATATAATTGTGCTGCATCCTGTTGGTAATCCTTGTAACTTTAATGCTATTGCACATCATAGAACAGAACCAACTTGTTTAATAATTGAAACAGCTGTTAAGATTCATTAATTCCATTTAAATATGAGTACTCATAAGGTTAACATGGGAAACTCCAGAGCCACTGGGGCGGAGCCCGAGAGTCCGATCAGAATAAAAACAACTTAGTTTTCCTATTTAATGCTTAAAGAATCAGTGTACCAAATTTCAGCCTCCTAGGTAAATGGGAAGTGGGAGAATTAGTGATGAGTGAGTCAGTGAGTGAGTCAGTCAGTGAGGGCTTTGCCTTTTATATATATAGATAATATATTTTATTTTTATACTATACAAATAAATCGAAAACACAAAAATAAAATAACAGGAAAACTGATATTAAGTGTGGGGTACAGTCTTTACAGGGTGTATACTATTTTATTAAAGTGAAATTCCAGGTTTTTTCCTGGTTTTTCTTTCCTGGACTTCAATTCTCATCAAAATGCTAAACCATCTTAAAAAGCCAAAACAATAGTTGCGAGGACAGTTGACTCCACGTTTTCAATAAAGATAGCATAATACCCTTAACACATTGAGTGCGGTGAAAATATCAGAGAGAGATTATTTTTACATAAAATCTTACCTTTTGTTGCCAGACATGAGGATCCAGGTTGGAAATGGTGTTTTGAGCTTTAAAAAAAGGCGTCCAAAATCGCCGGTCACTGGTGACCAAGGAGGTCCGACGTCTATAGTAAAAATGTAAAAAAAACACTAAAAATGTTAAATTGCACAATATTTACTATTTACAATTATTTACAGCCCCTTCTTCCCTCCCATCCATTGTTTTTTTACACTCAAGCTGTGTCGTGGAACTGGTTAAAACAATTCCCTATGCCTAATCCTTGTTTGTCTGGACACGTGCCACAGAAAAAAAACTATATTACAATAAAAAATCAAAAGTACCTCAATAAATGTGCAGTTATTAAATTTGTTAGTATGAATATACAGGTCACCAGAGACCGGCGCCGGTCCACAGGAAGGGTGGGCGAAACACACAAGAGAGGTTCTAAAGATCATGCTAGTAACGCACACGCAATAACTCCCGTCTACTCCTCAAGACCGCGCCTCATTTCTGCAAGACCTGGCCGAGCACCAGTGACCAGGCCGCACTCAACGTGTTAAGAGCTTTACTGCTTCGTCAATGTAGAATTGAGAATTCTCACCCTGGAAGTATGAGGTGTCGCCGATGTCCTCCGGTTCAGGTACAAACGGCGGAATAGCCTCCAACAGCCCATCCCATTCTACAGAGGAGAAGTGTGCCAGCTGTTTGACTGTCTCTCCACACGGCCTCAGTGCTGGGTCTAGAGTCAATAGAGAGTTGATGGCGTCATACGCAGACTGCGACAACGCCTCGTCTCCGTCTGGCCAGTCTAGCTCTAGAAAAAATCACTAACTTCATAACAGCCTAGTGGTCTGGTTTCACATATCCTAGTAGACTTGGATGTTTTTCTTACTTGATTTCCTGGCAAGGGTTGTATAGTTGTTGATAATGAGTAGAGACCATAGACAACACAAAAATGTAACTACAAGCTTTTGTAGGTAATGATAAAAGGTGTGAATTGTACTAGACTACTGTCTGACATCTGTGCTGTCTTAAAGCCCTCTTAACAATAGTGGTATGCATACAATTAAAGGACTTGTAGCCCTATCACAGTATGCGACTAGGTTAAATTAATAGCTTGGAAAATATCCATTGATAGTTATCATGATTCAAATCTGGGCTTTAGATCAAAACTTATCCTGAACTTTAAGCAACACTGCTAATTATTAAACAGATTGAAAATGTCCTTAAATTTCCTATTCCAAACAACAATCTATAAATTTTAAGAACTTTATAATAATAGATCCTATTTCATTGTTTTAGAGATAGATTAACTACCAAGGTTATTATGATATTACCTCTTTTCAAAATATTCTTGAAGACAGCTTGTGGGGTTTCATCGTTGAAAGGCAAGACTCCGGTCATAAACTCGTACATACACACTCCCAGAGCCCACCAATCTACACTGGCCCCTGGAAACATAAGAAATTACTCATCACAGTACACATTTATCAAAATAATATCCTATATTTTGACATTACGGTGTGACATAATGGAAATTTTAAATATAATTTATTAATTTTGATTGTGACCAATAAACTAATGGCAAAACTTAAAATTCTGTTGCATTACCACTAAAAAAAGATTGAGACTTTTGAACTGTTTTCCAAAACATCGGCTAAATACAAATTCTCAGACCTTTGTAAATAGTAATTTAGCCTTTCTAAACAGAATTTAAAAACAAATTTATTGTATTTATTTATTCACTCATATCAACGGATACACAATTTACAAAATGTTACATGTTTATAGACACAAGAGCAGAGTAAAATAATAATGTCAATTGCAAATAAAAACAGCAGTACACTTAAGTATATAAAAAACAGCAGTGCAACAAAAAAATTACAACAAGACAACAACAAAGTATTGAATTAACAACATAATAGTGAATATTAATTTGGAATTCAGAAAATATGCCAAATACAAATTTTGAAAGCAACAGCAAAATGAAATATTTTGACAAAATGTAACAATAATAAACTACATGATAACAATAAGTTTACTACATGAGACAATAACATCCATAAATAACAAGAAAAAATGAGATTAGGACGAATAATTGAACAAACTACACGAAGCTAACCAGTCATAGTAAAGACTTAAGTCAAGGTCAGAGATATCTTTCTTTCTGAATTTTATAATGTTGATGTGGGTTACTTAAAATGCCTGTTTCACACTTGGTTGGTGAAGTTTGGATTTGGATATTCCCAGGATCGGTCCTGAGGTGATCAGACTACAATGTAATAGTAGTAAAAGTTACCATCTCCCTGACGCAGCAGTATCTCTGGCGCAAGATAGTCCGGTGTTCCCAAGATCCTCTGGTCGGACACAGGTTTGCCTCGGCGCACAGACTTGGGAGTGCGGAACGGCGTCTGAGAGTTGCGTTGCGGATGTGGCGTGGCAATCGGACTCACACCAATCTCCTCCTAATCAAATCAAATCAAACAATCTTTATTCAAACAGAAAATTTCTAAACATGAATTGTGTCAAGTCAATAATTAAACATAATTATACATTTGCGACACTAATTAATTAAGAGCTATAAGCTATATGTATACAGCTTTCCCCTTAACAACTACTTACAGTACAAACATTACAACAAACTATTGATTTGAATTACTAATAACTAATTAAGTCTTCAATCCTGTTGCAGCATTTATCTGACAACAATCTGAATAAACTTGTTTTAAATAGTTCAAAATCTGTCAAAACCTTCATGGTGCTAGACAATATCCTACAAGCAATATCTGTGCGTTAGTTTACACAGATACAAACATTTGGAATGTGTGGGAATGTGATGTATATAAATAAAACATTTTGTTAAATGAAGATTGTTATGTCTAAAAAAGCCAATTACCAAAAAAGCCAATTTATAAGATCAAAATGCATACTTGTCTTTTAAAAACATTAGTAACATTGCAATTATTGCTACCACCATTTATAGTTTTCTGCTAAAACTACTGTAAAAATAAATATTTTGCATGAATAAACACATAAAAAATGGTGATCTACTAAATGTTCTATTACCAAAGACACTTTTAGTAACAGCCAAATAGAGAAAAAAATCAATCACAGTCAGACCCGCTTTTATAAACGGGCAGACTGGGCATATGCCCAGGGGCGTCGGTGGTTGAGGGGCGCCTGGCGGGTGCCGTACAACTACTGCCCGCCCGCTCAAGGACAAAAGGGGACCGCTGATTTTGAGTTTGCCCAGTGCTCCATTGACCCTTAACGCGGCCCTGATCACAGTAAACATGTTAACAAACATCACCCATAGAGTGAACTCGAGAAAGAAGTAAACATCTGCTAAGGTAGAGGCTGTACGGGTGTGAGCGAGAGCTATCTATTTAAATATTTGACGAGGTTAAATTAAATTTATGGCTCGAGCTGTTCGGAGTCAGGGACGTTGTAGAGGAAGCAAAGGGGAGAATTGAGAGATACCTTTGATTCTATACTTCCTGGCATATTAATGCCACAAATCCATTCTTGTCTTTGAACATTTTGATAAGGTACTGATGTATACTCTTGTTAACAACTGTTGCGAGGTTCCAGGGTACCCAAGATACCCATTACACATTAGAATCAGCCTCACCCAAAGCTAGAAAACCTCCACCTGGCATGCCCCTCTTATAACATTTTTATTACAATCCAATCATGATACACAACCCTTGACTCTGTGACCCACGAATACTAGAAAAAAGACCCGGTATAAACCATAAACATAAACAAATGATGTTTTCGGCCCGAAAGTAAACCAAACAGTATGTTAATTAATACTATTAGTATAGGGGTTTTGTTTACTTTCGAGCCAAAAACGTCATTTGTATATGTTTCTGATCCATACCGGTATTTTTCTAGTATTCGTGCCCTCGAGCATAAGAATTTGTACCAAACAATGCTTTATGAAGTTACTCACAATATGTGAAGCATCAATTTCTGGCAGGTTGAACCTGGTGACTTTGGGTAGAGCTGTAGAGTCACTTTGACATCTGGCACTGGCTGACACAGGGGTAGAGAACATTACACTGGGTCTAGAGTCCTCATCAGAGTAACACCTGACAAACAAACACGTTACCTAATACAATAGACGATAATTTAATGATTTTGTGGTGGATGGATTTCACAGCAGTCTCACCTTACTGACAGAAACATGTGAGAGAATAAAAATACAGTATGCATCCGATTATCCTTGATCACTCATCCACTCATTACCGTAGATCTTTTGATGTAAGCTAGCTGTTATCTATTCATTCTATTTGTGTTTTCAACTATTTGTTACAATAAGGTAGGCCTAAGCTGACTGGTCAATATATTCACCATAAGATCCTTAAACAGGGACTTTATCTACCTAATAAAGTCATAACTATCACTAATACACCATATTCTTTATTTACTCTTCCACTTGACTTCAACATTAACCCAACCTTCTGTGAAAAGAGCTACTAGCATATGGGACAGTGGGTTTTGTGCTGTAACTGATCAAAAAAGATGACAAGGACAAAATCCTAAGAGTTTGAAGTAGGTAATAAAACAACTACGCTTATTTTGACAGCTCTTAAGAGATTAGATATACTGAAAACTTAGCAGAATCAGTAGTTCGGGCGCATTGCCTATTCTTTGTGTTTACTATTTTATTGTATAAAAACAGAAAACTTGGGTCTACCTTGGTTTGAGAACACTTTTCAGGTTTGGGCTGAGACGACCGTTGAATCGTTTGGGAGAGCTTTCTGTGAGATCCAAGGCATTGATGCCTTGAGTGAGACCTGAAACAAACACATAACTTGGATATAAACAGTTCTAAAAAAAAACAACAATATAAAACTTCTATGGATAAATATATTACAATGCTGAAAAACAGGTTGGGTAGCTAAGGAAAACGTAAAAGGGATGTGTAAATGGTTATTCACCATTCCACCCAGATTTTACTTTCAAACTTCAACTACTTTTTGATTTACTTGTTGATTCAACTATTAGCTTCTGATAACTAGGACATATTTCAAACTAAATTAAATAATTGTATATTGAAAGACAATGTGTAGGCTACTTGTAAATGTCCCAAATATTAATTTTTAATTCCCCAACTTATTTTGAAAGCATGTATAGTGAGCAACCTACCTGAGCTAGAATGGCCTTGGGAAGAGTCATTGAACAGGTTGTCCATCAACAGCAGCCCTTTACGCTTCCTCTTACGATCTCTCATGGAACCTGGTCGTTTGAATGATCTTTTGACAGAAAACATAACACAGGCTATAAATAATGTATCAAATAATGCAACTACTGTACTGTGTATCCAACATTCCAATTATCACATTTATTTATATGAAGTAGGTTTACAATAATATCAATGATGCCTCCAAAACCAATGATTTAACCTGTCATGTTATGGTAAGTTCTAAAATTCAGGTGGGCATGATGATGATAAACATGATCATGATTAGTAAAGCAGTGCCGTCAGCATGTTCAGTGTTGTCTTGTCCACAACTATTATCCAAATAAAAAGTCCTTTTAAACTCAAGTGAAACTGACGTAAAAGGACTTTGGTTCAATTGAGTATCAAGGATTTAATTCCTTTAATCGTAAGGAGAAATGTATGCTGGATAAAACTCAAAACTGCAAACATATTTTTTTATATACAACAGAAATTAATTTTACGCCACACTACACTATTTTGACTAACTTCCCATGTAAGGATTTAGTCCAGAAAACCGCTGTTTGCCGCCAGCTTAATCAAATGGGTTTCATTAGGTACTAATGTACTGTAATGAGTTTTTACTGGACACCTACAGGCTGGTTATATTTTGGCAATGAGTGGTTATTAACAAAAACGTTGGGAATATAAGAATTTGTAATGATTTTTTATTGTTAAGTTAGCTTAGAATAGTATGGCGTAATATATTGTAATTGTATACTCTTTCAAAATGTGTTTACCGGACTAGTTTGGTAATCCCACACTTGACTTCGTCTCGCACGGGAATGACCACACTCGTCCGGTATACACCTATTTTCAGGCCTAGTAACATAATATACTACAGTATTACTCTACAGTATGTAGGTTTTTTTTTATTTTGCAAACTTGGCAGGGTTTGTGTACTTAAGTTATTATTTTTAGATATTGTACTTCCTCCCCTGAGATGAGGTCCCAGATCAGAAAATATTTTGCAAACTTATTTTCACTAACCTTTTACTTTTTTTTACAAAAATATCTCAAATAAAATTTAAAAAAGTATTGATCCTATTCCTTAGCCTACCTGGATCTAGACAGAGGAGATGGGGTAAAGAGATGGTTCTCCTTCCCGTGGTGACAAATTCCATTGATCTCTCCAGAACACTCCTCGCACGTGTGGTACGACAATGACGTATCGTTCTGTAAGTGATGTTCAGCAGAATGGAACGGACTTACGCCTGACATCCGGCTGTCGTTGATAGCGGTAGAGTTACGCTGGCACGGCGTCCCATTGTGTGAACCCTACAGATCAATCGACAGATAAATGTAGGTTTGCTGTATTTTTTAACTCCTCATTGCTAATAGGTTGATGAAGGTTTAACATAATTTTCTAATAAAAACATAAGCATTATTGTTGGATGGAAAGACATTTAAGTGTTGGTAGTTTTTATAACAAAGAAGACATGTAGGCCTACCTCTACAATAATGCAGATCTTGGGTAAAAAATCTTAACATTGAATGAATAAGGAAATGTTTCCCATATGCAACACATCTGCGCCTGTAGGATATGATGAACTAAACGGAAACCCTCAGAAGTCTGATACTTACAAAAGACAGATGTGAGGTAAGTGACAGTAGTTGGCCCGGCGTACGAGAAGTGCCTTGATATGGAGTTCCGTTTACTAGGTCTTCTATCTCCAGATCTAGCAATACAACAATGCTGTTAAAAAGTCACTGTACTGTTGAAATAAAAACAATAGAGAACACAATTAATTTCAGTAATTTTTTTTATAACAATAGGCAATAGCTTATCTAGAACGTTTGAGACTATGTGTTACCAAAAACAATAGATTTATCGATTGTCGTTTGAAAATAGCTGATCTACACAAGACCACTTGACCTCAGTTTATAGCTAAGCTTAACTGTTCTTACAGTGATTAAGTTTCAGAAAATATTCTGGGTTAACAGTGATCACAGTAGACGACGGTGATGTCTCCTTTACCACGGGAGATGATGACAATATTATCTTGAGTTTGGCTCTATCAAAAATTTCAGACTAGCACACCTCTAGTTTTAATAACATTTTCTTTTTTACTTTTTTGTAATATCTTCATTTACCTTTTTATATGGTATTTATTTCATGTGTTTAGAAGGGTTTAAACTTAAATTGGAGTTACAGGGTGTCTACCAGATTTCTCAAATGGAATTCCCGACTTTTTCCCGACTTTTCATTACCATTTTTATATAAATCCCGACCAAAAACTCGGTCCATTCTCCATGTTACTACACCTTTTTCCGTCTCCCGGTCATGGTACCTTCGTCAACATATGTTGTCACTTACGACCCAGCGAAATCACTGACGATCGAAACGTATCACATGCCAAGAAAATCCCGTATTAAATGTAGGGGTGTGTGAAGCAGCAAAACATTTCAACTCAAAGCAACGATTTGATTTAAAAAAATGTTGATGTAACTCGATTCGAAGCAACATGGAATTTTTCTATTCATACTTTTCAGTGGAGTGAAATATCTGTTTTCAATCATACATTAAAAGAACCAGTATTTCTGGAAATATCAGTGAGCTTCTTGCCTATTTTATAATTTTTACTTGCAGCATCATTTTGTTAAGTATGTTACCTATTTTATTTTATTCATTTTATAAATAAAGATATGTTTGGGTGTAAACAAATAAAAACCTTTGTAAGATTTAAATACTGAATCTTTCAATTGGTTTACATTGATAAAATAAGAGGATAGAATCAGAACCACAAGGTATACATAACTTCTTGTATGGCGAAGCAATGTCTCAGTGTATGCCATGTACTTGGATGGCAATAACCTGTATGGCTAAGCAATGTCTCAGTGTATGCCATGTACTTGGATGGCAATAACCTGTATGGCTAAGCAATGTCTCAGTGTATGCCATGTACTTGGATGGCAATAACTTGTATGGCTAAGCAATGTCTCAGTGTATGCCATGTACTTGGATGGTAATAACTTGTATGGCTAAGCAATGTCTCAGTGTATGCGATGTACTTGGATGGTAATAACTTGTATGGCTAAGCAATGTCTCAGTGTATGCCATGCTACTTGGATGGCAATAACCTGTAGCCTATGGCTAAGCAATGTCTCAGTGTATGCCATGTACTTGGATGGTAATAACTTGTATGGCTAAGCAATGTCTCAGTGTATGCCATGTACTTGGATGGTAATAACTTGTATGGCTAAGCAATGTCTCAGTGTACGCCATGTACTTGGATGGTAATAACTTGTATGGCTAAGCAATGTCTCAGTGTATGCCATGTACTTGGATGGCAATAACCTGTATGGCTAAGAAATATCTCAGTGTATGCCATGTACTTGGATGGCAATAACCTGTATGGCTAAGCAATGTCTCAGTGTATGCCATGTACTTGGATGGCATTAACCTGTATGGCTAAGCAATGTCTCAGTGTATGCCATGTACTTGGATGGTAATAACTTGTATGGCTAAGCAATGTCTCATCTCAATGAATAGCTTATATAATTAATGTCAATCATTTGAATAATGTCAATAAGTTATATGGATACTGATAGTCAAAGTATCATTATCAATGTAACAGTCAACTACGTATATGTATACTGATTCAATGACGTATAGACACTGATTCAAAAAGCTATTTGGATAATGATTCAATAACGTATATGGATACTGATTCAATACCGTATATAGATACTGATTCCATAACGTATGGATGCTGATTCAAAAACGTATATTATGGACACTGAATGCCCATGATTCAAATCGTTATTTTGATCATCACTGAATCGAATTGGAATTCCGATGCATTTTCGTTTCATCCCCCACCCCTCAAATGTAATCCCGTTCCAATGATCAGAAATATAAGATCCAGAACATTTTTTTAAAGTTTTGGGACCCGTTCATCACTAATTTTGAAAGGTTAGATTATTCCCGACTTTCGGCCGAAATTCATGACTTTTTCACGACTTTTCCCGACCTTTCAAAATCCCCGACTTTTTCCCGAATTTCCCGGAATTCCCGACTGGTAGACACCCTGAGTTAGAAATTGTGATTGCTGCATTAGTTTGTTATTTACTTGAAAAATACCCCATACTCTAAAAATACTTTGTGGAAAGACTGGGAATGTTGTAGAATAACCAATTCGATACTTTTGTATCTACATGACATGTCAATAATCTTGATTATTTAATCAGATTATAGACAGTAGTAATTCATTCTATGAATCAAAGGAGCATATCAAAATAATTTTCTTTAATCAAACTCACCTCTGTGCAAGGATATTTTACTGAGGCCAAAATCTGTCAGTTTCAGGTGACCTGAGTGAGCCAGCAGCATGTTGTCTGGCTTTAAATCGCGATGAACAATCCCGTGACTGAAAAGTGAAAAACAATTGTGAATGTAAGCCGTAGTGGTGTAGCTTTTTTTTCAAAGTTAAAACCTTAACATTTTTTTTTTATATAGCCTACACTAAGACTTTTTTGTATGAAACATTATTTCTAGCGGCAGTTGTAAAAGAAAAATTTACTAAATAGTAAAATCTGTTTTAACTATACAATTCTGAAAGAAAGTAATTTTGATTCATTGAAATTGTTTTTGAAAGATTTAGCATAGGCCTACACCAAATGTGAAAAAGTAAGATAAGATATGTACAAAAAATGTTGTCTAAATAGATAGGACAACATGCAAACTAGGAACTAGCCTCTAGATAGAATTAATAAATTAATAAGTAAAAGCTATCACAGGTACAGTGGTGTTTATTAAGACCTAATAAGGAGACTAATTTCTATGTGTAGATAACAAGGAAATAAAGGCAGGTAACCTTAACCCATTTATTTTACTACTGTCTAAACCAAATACGATTGTCAATCGCCTTCTTGTTTGTAAACCTTAGAAGATCAAATACAACAATTTGTGTAAAAAATTTACATTGCGTATACAAGAACATTGAGCAGATGTACATGCAGAATTTATCCCGTGGTCATGTAGACATGATCATCTCTCAGGGTCAAGGAAACATTACTTCTTTCCACGATTGGGGTGAAAGGTAAAGCCCGACCTCAGCGACCCCAGGACCTTGGCGCGCCCCTCCCCCTCCCACACTGTGGGGGTTGTAGGGGTATTATTTACGCCACTGTTTAGAAGTTTGTACAAAATTCACACATAATGGGTGCACAATTAGTAAGCTAAAGTATGTTACTATACTAAACAATCACAGAATGTGGCCTGTTCTAAAGGTTTAAATACTTAACTGAAAGCCAAATTTTATTCAAGGCCTAAAGATGATTTCTTGTAAGTAAAGGTTTTAAAAATGTTTTTGGATCTAAATAGTAGTTGAAATTGGTTAAGCGTACACCTACCGATCTTATACAACACTCACTTGTGAAGGTATAGGAGAGCAAGTACAACCTCTGCTACGTAGAAAGTCGCCATGTCCTCATCGAAAAAACCATACTGACTCAATAGACTCTTCAGATCTCCACCAACCATGTACTCCATCACCTAGCAAATCAAATTATAAGGAATGTGGTATCTGATGTGTGACTGTTCTAGGTAAACACAAAAAAAAAAAAACAATCTGTACAGAATTTGTCTCATTTAGATAAGCCTGTTAACTTATAGCAACAACAGTTCTTAGTTACAGAATACTACATTGTTGTTAGGTTATGAAGTGAAATAAGTAAGTTCTGACTGTCATGTGACTAGCGAGGATTACAGTTCCCCTAATTCAAACTTAAGGAACCTCAATATAACAAACTCCTTGAATTAGGCAAAGTTTTTTATATTCATCCAGGGTGTATACTATTTTATTTAAGTGAAATTCCAGGTTTTTTCCTGGTTTTTCGAAGTTTTTCCAGGTTCCCGCGTATTTGTTCGGTTACACTTAAACTATAATCAATTTAAGACTTGCAGCTTAAGTATACAATATAAACTTACATCAAATTTGTTTCAAAGTCCAGTGAGCTAGTGTTGAAAAAGTAATAATCCTTATTATAGTAATAATTTTCATTATCATCATTACTTAAGTCCACGGAAACATCGTCTCTCTTGATAGCAGCAAAATCATGAATATTATCTTCATTTTTTATGAACACATTATCAACGGCGGCAAAATCCTGGATATTTTCTGCGGTCGTGTGGTCGCTTCCCACGGTGACGAAAACCTCATCACAGTCTTACGTTATCATAGAAAAATCCTGGACATCTACCGCGGTGTGTATACATTATCGCCGTCTCTCGCGATCACGGAAACGTAATCATCGTCATCCACGATCGCGGCAAAATCACGAAAATCTTCAGCGGCCGTGTGGACATCATCATTGACTCCCACGGTCACGTAAACGTCATCGTCATCGACCGCGATCACGGCAAAATAACGAATATGTTCCTAGACCGTGTAGACTCCATCATTGATTCCCGCGGTCACGGGAACGTCATCGTTGTCGTCCGCGATCTCGGCAAAATCATACATATTTCCCGTGGCAGTGTAAACATTATCGTCGTCGTCCGCGATCTCGGCAAAATCATGAATATTTTCCGTGGCAGTGTAAACATCATCGTCGTCGCCCGCGGTCAAGGAAACGTCATCGTCGTTGTCCGCGATCTCGGCAAAATCATGATATTTCCCGCGGCAGTGTATACATCATCGTTGATCCCGCAGACACGTAAACGTCATCGTCGTCTCCCGCGGTCACGGAAATGTCATCGTCTTCGTCCACGATCTCGGCAAAATAATGAATATGTTCCTAGACCGTGTAGACTCCATCATTGATTCCCGCGGTCACGGGAACGTCATCGTCGTCGTCCGCGATCTCGGCAAAATCATAAATATTTCCCGTGGCAGTGTAAACATTATCGTCGTCGTCCGCGATCTCGGCAAAATCATAAATATTTCCCGTGGCAGTGTAAACATTATCGTCGTCCGCGATCTCGGCAAAATCATGAATATTTTCCGTGGCAGTGTAAACATCATCGTCGTCGCCCGCGGTCAAGGAAACGTCATCGTCGTTGTCCGCGATCTCGGCAAAATCATGATATTTCCCGCGGCAGTGTATACATCATCGTTGATCCCGCAGTCACGTAAACGTCATCGTCGTCTCCCGCGGTCACGGAAACGTCATCGTCGTCTCCCGCGGTCACGAAAACGTCATTGTTGTCGCCCGCATTTTACGACTACAATCTTCTACCGGGGCTAAAATAAAAATCCCGGAATCGGTCCAAAAATCCCGGCTTTTTCCCGGTCCCTTCATATTCAAGACGTTATTTCCCGGTTCTCCCGGTTTTCCCGGTTGGTATACACCCTGTTCATCCCTTCAGACTAGTTATGATATGTATCATATTTCTATGGACTAGAAACCTATGAGAAAGTTTGTCTTTTGAAAAATATTATTTAAGATATGAAATGTTCAGTCAAATACCTACCAAGTAAACACAGTTTGGAGTCTGCAGCGAGTAAAAGAGCTGGACACAAAACGGACTTCGTGTAAGAGCCAAGGCATTTCTCTCTGTCACCACTGTAAATACAAATTTAATATTAAAAAGCAAAATAAAAAGTACTCTACAAACAAACTTGGTTTTTTTCTAAAATTTTATTTTAAAAATGCTCTAAATAAACTGCCAAATTAGTAAATATGCCTAGACCTACTACTGCCTACTGTAAACATTTACCTACCGGGCAAGAGTGTCAGCATGGATGGAAAAATTCAATTCATCATTGCCATATATCTACAAAAAGGGCAGATAGGTAATTTAACTAGCATTGAATAAATTAATTAAATTTCATTTTGTAGCCCCTGAACTGCTTAGTATAAACTAAATTAAAACATACCTCGTCTTGCAGTTCAAATAAATAGTGTCTTTTTCAATCCACTACATGTTTCGCCATGTTGGCATTTTCAAGTGGGTCTCAATGTTTCTGTTTACCCACTTGAAAATGCCAACATGGCGAAACATGTAGTGGATTGAAAAAGACACTATTTATTTGAACTGCAAGACGAGGTATGTTTTAATTTAGTGAATAAATTAATTTGTTTACAAAAATATCATCATGAACTACAAATACTCCCATTGCATCAAATCTGCAGACTACATGAGTTTCTTTTAGACAGTTAACTCGATCAGGTTTATACGGTAAAAAATTACTCTTAGGCCGGTTACACACGGACACAACCTCGTTCGTCTGCTCCTTCAACTAGGGTCATTATTACACTTTGACATTGAAAAGTTACTAAGTGATGATTTTTTTTTGTCAGAAGCAAACTTCAAGCGACAAAATTGTAGCTAATGATATGATCTTCGGCATATAACCAAGCAATTTCTAATAAAATTTTTAAGTCGTGTGTAATGGAGTAATTAGTACGATAGCGCAACAAGGTTCTTTATAAATCGCGCCGCAATCTGTCCTCCCTGGTTCCACTGATCTTTTCCTTTAAGGTACTCCAAGAAACGTTTGGAGTACAATCAATAGTTATATTTAAGATATTTTTATTACAGGTTACACATAACTAAATACTGTATCATCACCTTCTTGGTAAACTATGCAGATTCCGAAAATATACATTTTATTGTACTTAATTTGTGTTATTGAAGGACTTAATTTGTGTTATTGAAGGCTAGGAGCGAGTTAACAACTTCGCGCAATATTCAATGAATTGTCTCATCTCCGCTGGGTCCCTCATGGTGGTGGGAGGAAGGATGCCACAATGGCAGCTTTCGTGAACTCATCCTTAGCATTCCGTGTATTTATTTACTTCGATGATCTGAGTAGCTTGGTTTCTGACTAAGATCAGCTGTTTCATTAGCCTGGATCATTCATTTAAAGCCCAATGATCAGGGACAGCTGGGTCCAGTTTCAAACCATCAAAAAGCTTAGACCTACATCAAATTTGCAACAGGTACCGTAACTTATGTCTACATTAGCCTATTTACCTTGGCTGGCCATGTTCTTATTTATCATTTCATTTTTCTTCATCACCTTAATAGCGTACATTTGTTCCGGATGGGCTTTTTTTACTCCTAGAAATACTTTGCTGAAAAATATACAAACAAAAAATACATTGGGAAGTAAATTCTGAGGGGGGAATAAACTTACGTGTACTCATAAAATCAGGCTAAGCCTACCCTTAGAATCAGCCACACTCGAATTTCATCCCCAGAGTGCCCAGGAATTTAAAAAAATCCAGGGGTCGATACTAAGCTGTTCAGGGTTTTGACTAACTAACTATTTTAATTTACAAAAACTAAATTGTAAGGGTGCTTGTTAAAAACTTATTAAAACATCATTAAATGTAAACATAGGCCTAAGTATACCTAGGCCTACTGGAATAAAGTTAGGATAGCCTACCACAAAAGGGAAATACATTAACTTATTTACACCAGACTAGACCTACACCAGATATGTTATTTCAAAATTGATTTGTTTCGATGTAATCAACTCCTTTCACATGACACACCTTCCTGTCAGGTTGTTGAAACTTAATTTGTTAAAATACTTTTGTAAATTAGAGGGCAATTGAAATTTTTCTTACCTCTAGGCCTACATAAAAATTGCTCAGTTTAGATAGGTAGAAGACATTTTTACAAATGAATTTGGCTGCTAAATACTAACTTGATCATATTGTAGTACATGATAGGAGTTAACTTACCCATAAGCCCCCCGGCTTATTGGTTTCAAGATATTGAAATCCTGAATCTCTGGTGCCTACAACAAATAATAGACATCAGATAATTAAGTATTGCTTGTGTTTCTAGTCCTAGTAACTTATATACCCAATTTTTACGTGTAGCCTACCTATATTAACTTACACAAAGCTTAGAGCCTTGACTTGCCCAAACCATGGTCAGGACCTCCGCAGGTCAATTGAGCTTTAATTCGTCTACTTTGATTTTGGTTCCCAGAACTTCTTTGAGAAGGTCGAGAAGGAACATGATTACAGATTCACAGAGAACCTGCGATATTATTGTATTAATGAATATAGCTTACAGGCTAGATTATAATTTTCAATAATATTCTTAGCCTATTGCATCAGTAATTTTACCAAATGATATACACCTAAATAAAGCAATAACAAAAACATTAGGCCTAGCCTAATACGCCTTAAGTTGTTTCATTTTAGCGAATTTCCCTATAGGGAAGTATTTATCCTTAAAGATTGGGACCATGGTATCGTTCTGTAATCCAGCTACTTGGAGGTCACAAATTGTAGATATTTATTTAAGCATGATCTGTGGATGTGATACTCCCTGGTGTGGATTAAAACATCCAAAATAGTGAGTACCGTACTACCATCCACAGCACTTAATATCCTGATAATTAGACCAATTTTTAAATTACAAGGCAAAAATGTGATTTGTATTCTACTAAGTTATATACTGTAGGGTCCCTTAGTTGTCATTGGCTGTATGGGCCAGGGTTGCCACCCATCCCGATTCTGCCGGGATAGTTCCGATTTCGGTTCCTTATGCCCACATTTAAGCCTATGTTAATCTGGGACGAGGGGTCCTCGACCATGTCCCAATTTTAACCATGTCCCTGGTATGGGCTATTAACTTAATTAACAGTCCTGTCTAAGGAACATGTCAGGCTTAGTCAGTAACAAGACTAGTTACAAGATGATGCCACTCATCCTAGCCTACACTCATCTCCATTCATACTTGGCTTAAAATACCTTCCTTCGTATGGTCGCCAATTCAATTAAAAGTATCCTTTGAGTTAACTTCAGCTATTGATAAGTAAGTTACTTAGGTCCTATTTAACATGGGTTTTTAGTTAATTATTTTTTAAACATCAATAAGTTTTAACACAGAGGGTAATTTACGCGTCCGGTAACCAGACGTGGATTAGGCGTCCGGTAGTGACGTCACCGGGTTGTGGGGTCCCGGAACACCATTACCACAACGATACGATGTTCGGCCAGCGTTGTACGTGGTGTAGTGGATAGAGTGCTTGGCTGATATCCAAGAGGTCCCTGGTTCGAAACCCATCGGTTTCTTTAACTTTTTGTCGCCAGATTTTGCTTTGAATGTAATTTCCTTCTTAACTGTACATCTTCTGTTAGAATTTTTGGCATTTATAATTTTATGTTATGAATAGAATTGAACCTTCATTTGATTTGTTTCATTATCAGCAAGTTTGGTTGGTTAGGTTAGGTTATGACAGTAACTGCCAGACGCCTAAGATAATCCACGTCCTATTACCGGACGCGTATCCTCTGCGAAGTTAAAAACATGATTCGCCAAGACCCACCTTAAGTTAACTTAAGTTTTACCTCATCAATTCATTGTTTACTTTTAGCCTGTTAAACACCATTAAATACATAAACAGATCATAACTCAATTCGATCTGTTTACATGGGAAAAAAACTTTAAAGCGAATTGGGCTAGGCTATAGGCTAATCGTAATAAGTACCTATGATTGACTATCTTAATAATAGGACTAAACTTAAATCACATGGTTCTTTGCGGAACTGTAAGAGAACTCGGTTTTGTCGTAGAAAAAGGCAGTTGTGGTATTTTTGAGTTCAGTGTAAGTTACAGTTGCCTACACCAATCAGTTGGGCATAGGCCTAGGTTACCATGAATCTAAAACACAAAGTTTAAGTTAAAGGTTTTAATGACTACTTTATATGCCATTACTTATGTATCAGGCAGAACAGAATCAACTGTGTCAGACAAGAAGACTAGACTTGGATGACTTAGGCCTATAGGCCTACGACTTACCTTTACACTGTTGTCCAACTGATTTGCAATAGTTTTTAAAATTATGTTTGAACCCTCAGATTGATCTCTTCTTTCACAGACAACACTATTATTATTTTCCCCTTTCATGTTAGAATAGTTTAATTGCCATTAAAGTAAAAGAACATCTACAACTCCTTGAATTGAGGTTAATAAACCACAAGGCTAGGCTACACCAAGAACAAGACCAGAAGCCTAACTGGACACTAAACAATCAAGAATCAAATCACTTCGACAACTCATTTTCTGTCGACTTTGACTGATCCCAAATAGCTTCTTAATTATTTAAGTTTATCCACAAATGTTACTCAATTAAAATGTTAAAATAAGTGGTTAACAAGTGCATGAGAGAAATTAAATTCAAAACAAATAAGAAGGAGCCAAAGCCAAAAGAAAAGAATCATACACACACACACACAACAGAACCTTAACGCTTATTCTAGCCTAGGGACAGGTTAGGAAACATAAAAACTGTGTACTGCAAATTGCAATATTTACTATGAAAAATGCAGATTGTTCTTGAAATGAAGAATTATCCATTGTTCTATTGCAAAACACGTCATCTACAGACTCTTCTTTAGATATCCAATCAAATATGACCAAACCATTACAATTACATCTATGTCTTTTCTTGGCGAGCATGACCGCTCTCAGCTCTGAGCTCTCCATACTCACGCATTCATATCTTCAGTTCAAAGTAAATTAATTGACATGTTTATTCATGAAAACTAAGAGGATCGTGCATAGAGCTCAATTAAACACAATTATCAAAACTAAATAATAAAAAAAACTACCTAGGTATTATAACAAATACATTTGAACATTATAACTTTATGTTCGCTTCTAAAGACTCTTGCTTGTGATCGTGTGATCGGGGTTTAAATTTTATGCGCATTTAGGTTATAAAAAGAGAAATGTTTTCTTTATTATGTTAGCGAATTTCCCATATAGGGAAAGCTATTACCGTTGTACTCATGGTAAGACCTGGACCCGGGACCGATTTACTTTTTTCGTTTTAAGGTCCCCTGAGGCCAAAAACTAGGGAGCCAATTCCAAATTCGCCTCCTCAACGTTGTCGGTGAACCCTTTGTGAAAACTGGGGAAGCAGGTTAAAGAACCTCGCTAGCATACTGAAGGTTTCTTCGGAGAAGAGCATGGTCCTTCCACCGTATGGGAGAAGAGTGGTGTTCTGTGGGAGGGTAGATTGAAATCCTGGTTGTGCCTCGTATTACAACTGTGGAAGGCAACATGCTTCGACGAAGAGACCTTTAGTGTAAGAAATTGCCTCCAAGATGTAGATCGAGACTGCAGTGAGTATGCGTAAGCTACAGAAGGTTTCTCTGCAGCTTCCTCTCGGTTGAAGACCGATTTTCCGCATATTGCTTCCTTCTGGAGCACCAAAACTTGTTCCAGGTTTTCTTTTGATGACCCACCCCAAAAGATGATCCCGTACCTGAGGTGGGATTCAAACAAAATAAGCGTGGTAGCATGTTCGTGTTAGTACCTCCGAAACAATGTACTAAATGGATCGAACCCTCCCTAGAGAAAATTTTGCAGACCTTTTTAGTTTCAGGTAGAGTGTGCCAACGTGTTGATTCCAAGTAAGTTTATGATCTAAACCGACTCGTCCCAATATTGCTTTGTGAAAGTTAACGTTTGGATGTTAGGAGGGCCAGAGACTTGGTTTTATAGTCTTCCTACGATGAGAGTCGTTTTATCTTCGTTGAAGACCAAATCGTTGTTACCACAGTATAGTCCTGAGCCCTGAGCCAGGTTTAGGGTGATGAATCTGTCCACTTCTAATTCTTCTGCTGGTTTTTTTGCATGTCAACAGGACAGTGTTTTCAGCAAACATCACCGCTTTGCAGAACACATTAACATGGCGGCTTGGGAAATCAGCCATAAACAAGGCAAAAAGCACCGGTCCCAAGACCGAGCCTTGTGTAGAACACCTCTATTTATTTTTATTGGTTTTTGGATTGAACTGCTGTTGTTGTTCCGTCGTATCGATGATTTGTCTCAGCTCCACAATCTGCGCTCGACCGCTTAAGTAGTTTGAAAACTAGTTGATTGCTGTACCTGCAATGCCGAGAAGTTCCAGCCATCGATGTAACTCCTCGATACCTCTCCCATTAAACCTTTAATCCAGCCAAGTCTAAAGTTTCCACTCAGTGCCGGATTTACCACTAGGCCGATTAGGCCGCGGCATAGGCCCAAAAGCAAAAGGCGGCCGCAGAGGATTGAAGAAACAACTTTTTTAGAATTTTTAAACAATCAGTTTGCCGTTATCACAGATGGCTATAATAACGTTTCCGTGATTGCGGCCCACGGGAGATGTTCACGATTTCGCCGCGGTCACGACTCCTAATTTATCCCTTCCTACTGTAGAGTGTAACACTTAGGTCAGGTAAGTGCTAATGATTGTGTTCCTATAGCATCAAAGTTGTCAATAATGTGCTCAATAATTTCTCCAAGAGCAGTCACTGTTGAGCGACCTGGGATGAATCCATGCTGCTCGCTAAAGCTTGATGTCATTTTGATTTTGATCAAGAAGTTATTTTGATGAAGATCATCCCGAAGTCTACTCAACACAACTCTCTCCAAAAGACTTTAGAGAAGTTATAGAGACGAGTGAAATCGTCTTATAGTTCTTAATTTGATCCTTTTTTGTAGAGTGGGTAAACTTTTGAGATTTTTTTAGATTGTTGGAGCAAATGTCTGAAGTGGTTCTTTTTAAGGTGATGGAAATATTGCTGGCTGCTTGCGTTTTAGTCGGATTTTTGTTACACAGAGTTTCATCAGCAATAGTGGCAAAGTGTGTGTTGAAAAGTTCTGCTATTGTATAAATGCTATTGACTGATGTCGTTGGCTCTTTTCAGAGACCATAGCCTATAGTATCCTTGGATCTTTTTGATGGATTTATTTTGCGAATTGATTATTGTATTGACCAAATAGCTTTATTTTTGTTTGAGGATTCGGAGATGAGCTTCTCATTTTCTTTTCGTCTAAGTGTCCTAAGCTTGAGGTCATATATTTTTTCTTCTGAGCGGAGTCACATTTGTCCTCCAGTCTACCAGTCATGATCTTGTCCCTTGCTTTGGTGAAGGCCCTTTTTAATTCATTTACTTCATCGTCATAAAGGACAGCTTTTTTATGTTTGGAGGGCTTTCTTCTAGATATCTTGTATCGACAAGATAGGTCAAGAATGGAAGTCAAGAGACCTAGAGACCGATGAATTTGGTGTAGGATGTATCTGTATACTCTTCCTGCAAACTTCGTCCCAAGTTTGGATGGACAAATTTTCTCTGAAGTCCAGCATGTTGTTCTGATTGTAATGTGCAATGTCGCCGGGTACAGATGGTTGCCGCGTTCACTAGAGGAAAGGGAAAGAGTATATTAATAAGTTGCCCAGAGTGGTCAGACAGATGTCCGTGAATCACTTCAGCGCTTATTAGATCTGGATCAAGGCTGGAGCAAACATAGTCAATTGAGGTAGCTGATGTGCTAGTTATTCTAGTTGCGGGAATACGCAGTCTGTGGATGTTGAATGACGCCAACATCTCATTAAGCGCCGATCTCTCTCTACTCTACCAAGGAGTCTGCATTGAAGTCTCCAACAATGCAGATTCCGCTGTTTGCAGAAGGAAGTGCGTCGAGGATGTCTTGTTAGCGACATTAGTGCATCCTCAAGTGGTGCGTCGGGAGGTTGATAAGTACCCAGAATAAAAATGCTCCCACCTGCCTTGAGGTCAACTTTATTCCTGTTAGTTCGCAGCTGAGCTCTCTGCTGAAAAGGCCTACTCTATATTGGCACTTACTGTAGGGTTTACAAGTAAATTATGGCAGTATATATATAGCAACACCACCCTTTTTATGATTTGTTCGGCAGTATGTAAGCAGATTATAGTTGGCAAGGCTCTATAACGTTCCCAATGCAGTCACGACTGACTGTTCTGTGCTACAACTATTACTATGTCTGGTTTTTTTATGGTATACGCCAGTGGCATTTTTGTTATGAAGTCATTTTAAACACTTTTAAGGGAAAACAGTCCAAACCAGTTGTGATTTTCTGTTACAAAACTGAACAATGTCTTATTTAATTAGTTGCAGTGATAAGACAGTGCTGGCCACCCTATAGGTACAGTTTTAATCAGTTTTATACATTTTAATTCCATTTGAACCATTTAAGAACATGAAAAGTTTCAATTATTGTGATTGTGACAGTTTTTTTAAAGAATCCATTGTCATACCACAATGTATTATGTATTTAATACATTTAAAATGTGGTTGCATACAAAATGACCTGAAAAAGTTCTAAGGAACAAAGTAGTTGATATACCAACAATAATTGTTGTTAGATAAGGTCATCATTTTATTTTATCAAAATATTTTTGATTTAAATGCATTATTTAGCAGTCAACAGCATAATAGTATATTTCATCACCAAGGTGTAAAGTGACTCTTTTACCTTACCTGAACAGCGGTGTTGCAGACTATAGACATCCCAAGAACAAAACAACCTGCCCAGAAACAAAAAGATCACTTGGTTCGCGCCGGTAGGTGTGGCTTACCCTTCAAACCTGCGTGGCTCGAAATGGCCCGGTTCTTTTGTTTCTGGTATGTCTATATAGCGTCAACGGCCCAAACTATGCCACCTCAGGCATGTCGGTAAGTCAGTTTTGCTGTTTTTTAATATTGAGTATATCGTAGGATGTAAAATGTTGTTTGTAGATGAAATTTGATTGTCTGGAGAAATGATTTAAAGGTGCTCAGAGGCGAACTGCACTACCAACCAACTACCGTTACCCAAGTGTCAGAGGCCCAAACTTAACCACTATTAGCATTATCTGTCCCCTCATATACATGTATTCTCTCTCAGTGCTGCTACTTTGAACCTGTAAAGCATGCAAACTGCTGGATTTTCTGCTGTATGGTGAAAAAGTAACTTTTTGAAAGTCACTTACAAAATCTTTTAGGATCGGAAGTACAGGTGTTCAGACAAAAAAGGCAATTTAACAAAATTGTAAAACAAACACTTTAATATCTACTTAAATTTTACATTAATAAAAGATTCACAGAATCTATAGAAACTATTTATAAAACCCGTTTCATATAAAGTTCAAACTATTAGGCCTATATAAATACAATAAAGTTATACTATGGATACACGATGGGTGTTTATAGGGCACATATCGTTATTGACAAATACAGATTTAAAAAGGCACTCACTATAAAATATACCTCTACTACTAGAAAGGTTAGGTACTAATTGTAGGCTATTTGATTAAAATCTTCGGAAGACCTGTGCAAAACAAAAATGTTAAAGTTATAAAGTCAGACAGTTTAGGAGATAAACACAA